TTGGGCAATCTCCCTCTCGACAACGAAGCGCAAAAGGTGACGAGTGCGATGTCAGGCGCTGTGCACTCCCTACGCAAGGCAAGTGCGCGGCGCCGCCCGTGGTGAGTCAGGCCCATGAGTTTGTACCATCATGCACACGCACACATATGTAGCGATCGTGAGAATGGAACGATTGGAGAACGCAGTATCCATGATAGTTGTATTTCGCCCGGGTGAGGTGGACTACCCTCCGGCAAAAGCGGATGGGCCGGAGTAATAAACCAAAATACTTGTGAGATACGTTGGATCTGTGTCCAAGGTTGTCAGCTCAGCGGAAAGAATCCGTGCCTCTACCAAGTCGGATGGAAAACCAGAAACCCCATCCCAGCACGGAATGCGGAACAGGAGGGCAAGCTGGTCCGGGGGTGCCCTTCGTACGTAGACTGATGTGCCGGAGCTACCGACGCTGCATGCCGCGGCTTTGAATGTCAAAATGTTGGGGTCGCTCGCTGAGCTTAATTTGTAAGCGCGGCCTTCGCTGAGCGTCTGTAAAACCGGCTGTGGCACCCATGGACGAAGAGAGGAAATCAATCCGCAAGGTTCCCGATGCCTGACTGTGGCTTGCTAACCGAGATCGGTCAGTCGGATTCGGGTTGTGGGATGTCATTCCGATGCCAACACCAATGAAACTGTTCCGTCAATGGCTGAGCCACATAAGGTACCTTGTAAAAGCAGATGCATTTCGATTGGTTAAGCCGCTGAGGCGCAGTCAGCAGGCCAGGGGAACCACGAAGACCGCAGAGAAGGAAACTGAGGAATGGGCATCAGGTGCAGGACACATGAAAAATCCACCCTACCTACTCTACTCGTCGCTTTTACTCATCCCGAGGCGCTTGTCTTGTGTGCATGGTCCTGTAGTCGGTGCGAATATCGATGCCCCCAACTCGAAAATTTATAGCATGGGAAAGCCGAAGACCAGAACGTACCAGACCTGCAGGCCCGAACTCTTGGCTGCATGACAGAAGTGAAGGATCGAGAGTCCCCCACTCCGTAGTAGTACTTTTAAGGACCTACGGCGGCCATCTTGTCTGTCGTCTTCCCTTTAGGCTCTGACACAGTGACACCTGCAGCGCCAAGCGTACTATGGATGATTCCTTGCACTAGGTATGGATCAATCAACGACGGCACTGCATCACTATCGGCAATGGCTCCATGAGTCTGCGTGTACGGTGACTGATCTGGATTGCTGCGTTGGCGGAAACAATCCGGCGCGGCGGACATGTCATCAGATGGAAAATGCATATGTTTAGCTTGCATCGTCTACGCGGAGGGTAAAAAGAAAAGAAAAAAAAGAGCATGGTACGCGAGTCATCCAGACCAGGGCTCACATCTAAATCACGATCAGTGATAGTTATGAATCGCAATTTGATCAACCGATGTGGAAGTTAGGAGGCTTTGCTACGGAAACTTGAAGTGCAAATGCAGCCCTTACCGGCGCGCACCAAGGACTGAACATCTACGGTCCGTTGCATGTAAGTTCCTACTTCTGACTTCAACCGTGGCAGTGGGGTCCAACAAACGCCGTCTGCCAACATGGCTAGACCGGCCGACCGACCTAGTGACCCACATCACCACCGGCTGCCGACGGTCGAGACCGCTGTGAGGTCTCTCCGGCCGATCACTCTGCATTCTTAGTGCTCACAAACCGGCAAGGCTGTGATACGACGGATCGTAACAAGAACGTGTGTCAAGAACGCAGCCCAACGATGAGGATGACTCACTCGAGTGGCCGCTACCTAAGACTTACTATGGTACGCAGCAAAGCATCAACCCCTAGCCGGCGGCAACGCAGAGAGTATGCGTCCGCGTGACAGCTTGTTCACAGTGACTCCCCGAATCGAACGCATTAGGCCGGCTTCTCAGCGGAAAAACTACGGATGAGATTGAAGTCGTTCAGGAAGCCTACGTCAAGCTCAGCCTGCGTCCGCTCGGTCGGGGTTACCAGAGCCACAATACGGCAACTAGTAAGGGTAGATCACCCGACAAGTAAGTGTGGCTGAATATACCAGATCCCTGGGTAGGGGCACGGATACCCTGCACTCAGCAGGTCTTGGGTTGCCTCGGGAAAGTTATCCGTATCCTGCGCGGAAACAAGGCGCTGAGGATGAGCTTTTGTTGCCCCCGGGAAGGTGAATTCGGGCGGCTTGCGTCAATCGTTCACATGCTTGGCAGAAATTTTTCCAGAGGTTGGGGAATGCCAGGAAGCATGAGGTGAGTTGGACACGACGGACTATTGACCGACAGACGGCGACGGCGACGGCGACGGCGGGAGACACCGGGCACCTCACCTTAGCCACAGGTACCCCATTTGCTACCTAGGTAGGGCAGCTAATGGTCCCGGACCAGGCCACTCAAGCCACCCCAAAAGCAACACACCAACACACCACCACACCACCTGGCCCAATGACGATGGTTAGTCGAACACCAATAATGAGCCAATTGTGGTATGAGTAATGTGCACCCAAAGCGCGACAGAAGATGAAAAAAGAAACTCAAGGATCTTGCATCAGGAAGTCAGCAAAAAGGGCGGGAGGACGAATCATCAAGAACGATGCTTTGCGAACCCCGTCGGATACTCTTCGAGAGCCTTTAATCGTATTCAAAAGTCGCTCAACGGATGACGAAGCAGAGGGTCGCGCGGAGAACTCCTAAGCCCGATGTTCGTGCGTAAGGCAAAACGAACGGTTGGAGGCCTGTGGACGGAGTCCGGACAGGCCAGCCGGGGACGACGAGGTGGTTATGTAAGCCACAAGGGTCTCGAGGACAGATCCCGAGCCTCTGCCGAGGCACGGGCAAAGCGCATCTGCTCATGTGCGCAGGGCTTGCACTTGACCCTTTCAAAACCCCGAGGTGAGGTGGGTGTAGGGGAACCCATCAAGAGCCCAGGTAACCAACTTTTTTTTCTTTACGGGAATGGAGCCTTGGCTACTGTTGAGCATGCCACGAGGTAGTGTGCAGCTGGTAGAACGGTTATTGGCGTCGGACCTGCACACTGCATTTCAAGTGGAAAGTCACCTTTACTGATGGGTTCATGGCTTGCTTCGGCTGGTGCGTCCTGGCCTGGACCCTCAGCGCATTACGCTCAGCCACAAAAATGTTCTGCTATTACTTGGCGGGGAAACGTTACCACGGAGCGGCCTTTGCCCCGCCGATGCAGCCACAGACACAGAGCAACAATCCAGCGTGGCCTGGGCCGCTCTCGGCCCGTAGTCGCTTTTCATGGCATCTAAGTACGGATAAGGCACCTAAACAGATAGCGAGCAGCAAAAGCGATTGGCGCAGCGAGCGTGGTCGCGATTTGCTCTCCACATCACCGTCCCGGCCTCAGCCAGCTAAACTGCGTCAGACAGCAGCCCAGCTAGGCAGGGTTGCCTTGGTGCAGCAAGTCAGCTTCGATTGCGTGCAAACATTCAACAGACCCCTACTACCCTCAGGTGCGGCGGAGAGCATGTCGGTATCCAGTCGACAGCGTAAGGCACGGCAAAGTACGTATGTGGTGAACTCGCAGAGCTGAGGTGTAGGGCAGCGTGAGTACCTGCAGTATGACCGCGGCGGAGGGTGGGCCCACTCCTCCAAACATTCCAGCACCAGTGCATCGATTCCACCTCCCGTCCATGCCCATCTTTGACTACTGCGTACCTACGCAGTACTCATGCTGTGAGGGTGTGCCGCCGAGGTGTCAGTGCACAGCGACCTTACGTCACTCCACCTGGCAGCGACGGGATGATCGATGGATGCCCCTATCGCTGAAATGGAGTCACCTACGTCTTGATCGCTGGCCCAAGCAGAACCGGAGTGTTTCCGACGCAATCGCAGGTCTAGAAGGTCATTTCGACAACGTTTCCCCTACCTGTGTGCCCGGTGCCCCAAGATCAGGTAAGGTGTCCCAGATAAGTTGGCTAGAATTGATACTGTAGCGAGGACCAAGTGCGATTGAGAACTACGCAGAAGCTTCAGAGCGTAGCGATCATGTGATATGACCAATTTCATGTCATCTGTCACTGCCGCCGGCGCTGGTTACATGCCGCAACTTTGCCCATAGCCATTCACGCTCGGTTATATGAGTCAACCTGTATCGAACAGGTCCTGCGTGATATCAGGCCAGAAATCGGCTCCATCAAGCTCCTTTTCCGTCTGTCTCCATCATTAGCAGTCCGGCAGAGTTGGTAAGAATGAAAAGAAACGTCAAGTAGAAGACCTTCGCACTTCAAATCTGTCGGCAATATGGCCTACTTAGTAGAAGTCGCATGTCATCGTAAGCCGTATATTTTATTGGTGAAAAAAATCATCATAAGCCGACTTGCTCAGCACAAATTACTGAACGTCAGACAACCTTACACTCTCTTTGGTGGTGCTCGACATGGTGGAGGGTGAAAAGTCAAAACAGGCAGGACCGTCATCGGTCTTGGGTATTCCCCGAATTTCCAAACGAAGTGTTGGTCATCCATCCTAAGGTGGGAAGCGAGGAACGGAGATAGAGGGGGGGGAAGAAAAAAAAAAAAAAAAAGCATCCCCCCCTCCTTCCCGTCACTTTCTGCATCATCCCCACGCACCCTGGTCCCGATCGCTATTACCCTTGCACCCTGCTCCCCTGATGATGCTCCCTCTCTGGGCATCAGTCCAAGCCTCGGGTGTCCAGCCGGTACCTCCGCTCCGCTTTCCAAGCAAGTCAGAGACGGTACGTACATATTATTCCACCATGTCTAAGCCCGGCGGGTTATTGCATGCCTCAACCATGTTCACTAACATCCCCACAACGGTACGTATACACTGCCTTACCTCACTCAGTCGCTAGTCGGCATGGGCCTGCAAGCCCACTACCAAGCCCATACGTAGGATGTGCAGCTAAGAACCTGCTCGATGCGCATTTAGTCTTCCATATAAGCCGCCGTCCCTCCAGCGTTTGCCACCTCTGCCCTTTACTTCAACAAATCTACAATATCTTTCTGAATAAACACATCATGCTGTTAACCCGACCCGCTACTGCGCAACCTCCTCAGCAACAACGCTTTTATCGTAACCAGCCACAGCCACACCATCAGCCTCAAGGTCACCACTTCTACCCTCACCCACTTGACTTTGACAACGACACCAACCCAGACGACTCGACAAAGGACATTAACATTTCGAGTATATCTTCCTCGCCTCTCTCGACTCAGTCGTTCACGTCTCAGCACTATTCACTCGGGACGCACCCGTCCTCCTCGTTTCCCAACTTTGACTCCTCTCATCTTGCTGTCCCAAGAAGAGCGGCGCCCGCCTCTGCAGTTTTCGGCGATTCACCTGCAAGCGTCGACTTGAGCAACCCCAGCCAACTTTCACAAGACCTGATGCAGTCCGACGCCTGGGTTCTTGCAAACCAGTACAACACCAAGCCTGTTGGTCGATTCTCCCACCAACGGGAGTCATCGCTGTCGTCACTGGGTTCTGCTGGTCCTGCGTCGCCCTTTAGCCACAACACATCGAACCCCCACATTGCAGTCACTGATTCTACTCCCGACGGCCTCTACGACATGCAAAGTCAGGAAAGCAACTCGTTCTATCAGCTGGCCAAGGCCATGCCATCTCACGACAATGTTTACCCCAACTACAACGGTCTTGCCGCGATACCCTCTGACATGAGTGGGTACACTTCGGCGCTCAATGTACAGAGGCCTAGGTCCGATCGCAGCGGCCTTTTGCCCGCACCCGAGCTTTCCGTGGCAGGCAGCAGCAGGTCACACCCAAATTCTGTGGCAAGCTCGGTAGCTGGTGACTCACCTGCAACGCCATCCGCAGGCGATCACGAAGATGATAGAAGACGCAAAGCTGGTAAGGCCATCCCATCCTATTTTTGCCAATTTCCGTACATCAGCTCACATTTTTTTTTGAACGACACAGTTTTCAACAACGTGCCCAAGTTGGACCGCACAATGACAGACATCTACAACGACGAACTCTACAGTCCCAACTTCACTATTACATCAGCGTCGCCGGCCCACAGCCAAATGGCAATGTCACCCAATAACGACGTCTTTGCTCAACGGCTGAACGCTGCCAACAATCAACATCTCAGTGCTGCGCAATCTCCAGCCTCGAGTGGTTCTCGAGACCGGTCACCGTTTCGCCAAGGCTCGCCACTTGCACCCGTTGCAAGCCATGAGTTTGGTGCAAATCTGGTAGGGTCCCGCCTGAGATTCAACTCTGCACACCAAATGAGGGAGCAGAAGAAGGTCGAGAGGGATGCGCAGATCTTGAGACAGCAACTATCCATGAAGTCTGAACCAGAGACGCCCAAAACGATATCGCCTAAAGACGCCATGTTGGAGTTTCATGATGCGGAGGGGGATGATTCTTTCCCGTTGTTTCCCTCCCAGGATGCGGCGGACTTTGATGATCTCGCCAAGTCGGCGGTCCCCCAAGACCACAGTGGCACGTACGCGAGAACGGCTATGCCAAGTGCTGCTGCTTTCCCGTACGTGGCGATGCAATTCCCCAACGGCGTCCAAATACCTCAACAATATCCTTTCATCGCACACTCACGACAATCACACGAGCAAACAACGCGCTTGAGCTCAGCCGAGTCCAGTTCAGGAACGTCTGAAGGAACATCTAGTTCCACTGGTGGTCCTCCGGTCAAGCCAGCTGGCGCCGCCGCCGATGGTGGTACATATACCTGTACCTATCATGGTTGTACGTTGCGTTTCGAGACGCCTGCACTCCTGCAAAAGCACAAGCGCGAGGGCCACAGGCAAACGCAAACTCTCGGCGGTCCTCGAAGAGCTGATACTAGCGTTGCGCCCTCACCAAACAGTTTGCTCAATAGCCAGGCAGGCCCACACCGATGTGATCGGATCAATCCTAGTACTGGTAAACCATGCCATACCATCTTCTCGAGACCCTACGACCTCACCCGCCACGAAGATACCATTCACAACGCGCGAAAACAGAAAGTTCGTTGCAACCTGTGCACAGAAGAAAAGACCTTCAGCCGCGCGGACGCCCTCACAAGACATTACCGTGTTTGCCATCCCGATGTCGAATTTCCTGGGAAACACCGCAGACGTGGACAACAAGTATGAGCGGGTGATTGTGGTGCATGCCGACACATTTGCGATGGCCACTTGAGGTGGAGCGACTGCAAAAGTGGCTGCGCGACGATGGGCAATTGATAGGGCTATGTCGTGGCTGCGGAAACACTATTCGATAGGGCGTCACGAACCCCAAAGCATGCGAGATGATGTTAAGCAACGTCAACCCAATCCTAATCCGTCGAACAATCTTGGATGCTGTTACCAAGGATCGTCCTCGAAGCTGTTGGAATGAGTGGGGTTTGCGGAGACTACGGTGGGGATTCAGGGTCCTCTCACTGCAGTAAGGGTCGCGCAGTATGACATCACAATGGTCTGTGCGGCGCGACCCTGACGATCTGGATGTTCCACAATGACATCATTCACATGGACAATCCTGCGCCTATCCATGCGACCCGCCGCTCCGACCTCCCACCTCCGCTCGACGACATCATCATCAGGCTTGGCATGATCACTTATTTACGCTAAGAGCAATTGTCTCACTCGCGAGGCGACTTGAGCATGAGCGTCAGCATCATTACAAGCGGCGTGGATGTGGACCCCATGGTTCCGCCCATGGGTCCGTCAGCGATCGTCTGCACCCAATCGGCATTCCCACAGCGATTTCGCTACCGCCGGTATCACTCCATTTCTTTTTTCCTCATTTTTGCGGCACAATGTATGATAGTACAGAGGTGAGAAGCATTGAGTTCAGAAAAGTGTGTGGTCGATTGTCGATACGGGCCATTGGCAGAGCGTCGATGCTGTACATTATCTAGGATTTCCTTCTTGACTGGATTGTTTTTTTGGTTCACAGCGCTACCGTCATGCGTAACGATTTTCTGTATACCTTATTATTCCACATGTGACGTTATGGACTAGACAAAACTACATTGAGAGCTATTAAACAGCAACTTCGGGGCAGAATGGGGAATATATGTCTTGGGAAAATATAATATAGAGCATGTTTATCGCAAACCGTTGTGTATCTGACACATTTCCAGTGCTGCAAACCACTACCTTGGACTAAGTGAGTAAGTCTACAGTAACGACGTCCGAGTTTGCTGAGGAAGGCAGTGAATGCTAACCAATCCAGACTCAAATGGCAAAGAATTTAGGTACGTGCACATGATTTGCTGTCTTCGCCAATTTGGTTGCAACATGCGTGCCAACGGTTTCAATATTCCACCTGTGTCTATTCTACCACACGTCTAGTATGAATCGTGGTCAAATCGAAATATCGAAATACCAGATAACCCGCGCATGTTGCCTCTCCCGCCTGCCAGGCCAGTGGACGAAGACATAGCGGCTCTGCTTTTACCGGAGAAACCATCCCTTCTGTGATTCTTCCATTCACCACCGTCATGCCTCGGTCTTGCTTGATTCACCAAGTACGGCTTCCCGAGCGGTTTCATACTGGGGAACGATATCGGTCCATCTTTGGAACTGTAATTAGAGTCAGTCTAGGCCTTCATTTCGATCATCATTGCCACACTGGGATAGAAGAATGCGTACCTGATACCATCCCTGGGCTGCGAGTACTTCAAGGCCTGGAATAGTCGTCCATCCAGCATCCTCGGCAAGTTGCATCAACGGGGTATGGCGAGGCTGATACGCCATTTCGAGAAGAACGCGAGTCACATCACCTACGTTCTCGTGGCGAAGTATTGCCATGAGTGTCTCTCGAAGCGACGGGTCAACTGGCTTGTCAGCGGGAATCGTGCTGACTACAACAGTAGGTGACGATGCCAGCTTGGGTACTTGGTCAGCACTCTTTAATGCTTCGATGCGGAACTCAGGAGGGAATGAGGCTTTGAGGGTCTCAAGGCCGTTGGTGTTGCGCGCAAGTGCGTAAATGGGCCCGAAGCCCAGCGAGTGCAAGGCGAAAATGGCCGCTCTCGTCGTCCCACCAGAACCAATTACCATGGCAGCATGTTGGGCCCCTGAGGATGAGCGAGCAGTCGTCCCCTCCGATTGGAGAGCGTAAACCATCCCTAACCAGTCAGTATTATCGCCGACAAGCTTGGCCCCAGCCTGGCCGCTGCCAGACACTGGGATGATGGTATTGACAGCTCCAATAACCCGAGCAGCTTCCGAAACCTCGTCAATTTCGTTCATGATATCTAGCTTAAGAGGAATTGTGACAGATGCGCCGCCGAAATCTGGAGCACGAATGATGTCACGTACATCGGCGGCGACATCGGTCTCCTTCCGCCAATACTTGTGCGGTAGACCGACCAGGTCGAAAAGCGAGTTATGCAGTGCGGGAGATCTCGATGCTGAGATAGGTTTGCCAAACAGGTAGAAAGACTTGGGATCGATGCCCCCTAGGAGCGACAACGCCTTCCGTATCTCGGCGGCCGATAGTTGTCCCGGAGCGGCCTTGAAGGGCAAGCCGGGATGCGAAACTGGGGTAAGACAGCCATTCAGAACACGGCTCAATTTGCCGGCACTCCCCATATTGAGCGCAATAATGGGCGTCCTGTGGGAAGCGAGCATCTCCGACTTGAAGCGTGCCAAGTCGTAATTATCCTCAAGGCTTTGGGCAGTGCCAACCAATTTGATAACGTCTCCCCATTGAAGAGCTTTGTTGTAGAACGGAGTCCAAGAGCCGTTTTTCCAGGAAAGGGTACCGTGGGGATCATGGTGTGATGCGATTATGCGGGAACATCCTTTACTTTCCACCACGGCCTGGATGACCTTCTCTGGAAGGGTCATCTCAACGTCGATGAACTCCACGCCCATGCGGCTAGCCTTTTGGTACAGCTCAAGCCCTTGATCACACGCATCATCCGGGAATTTGCCTCCCTGGGCCATTGTTCGCAGGGTGAAGATGATAGGCACATCGGCGACGGATCTGAGAAGTGCCACTTGATGAGCTACGAATTCTGGGGAATAGTCTTGCAGCAAGTCGGCGCGAAGCTCCACCGCATCTGACCCGACAATGACAGTCGGGATCAGAGCCAAAGATGATGCGACCTCCGGCACGGTAAGTGATACAAAGAAGCTGAGGTGCTTGGATAACGCCCGTGTCACCTGGCTGTTCTCGCCACACAAGGCCATGACGAAACGACGGAAGTCCAATGGAGGCTCGCGGGTAGCCACGGTGCCAGGAGGATGAGGGCTGAAGTATTCGAAATTGCTGCAGTCATCGAAGAAAGGCTTACGGCGATAGTAAACATCCTCGATGTCTTCTCTGTAGGCCGGCCTTGTCTTGTCCAGAAGAAGGTAATCGACAACTTCCTTGGTGTTGCGGTGGACCAACAGAACGATGCCTCCATTCTTGCGATGAGCGATGAGAAGTTTGCGAGCCTCGGGAGTCTCTACAATGCCACCACCGCAAGAGAAGATGCGACCGTGCCCCTGCTTCTCCATGACGTCCCGGAGAAGATCCACTTCGTCTTTTCTGAACCCCTCCCAACCCCTGGAGCCCCTGATCATTTCAGGAATGGTCATACCAGCACGTCTCTCTAACTCCTCATCAAGGTCGATGAAGGCCCTCTTCAACGTATCAGCCATCCATCTGCCTGCGGTAGTCTTACCGGCACCACGCATGCCAATGATAAACACCGACTTGTTTTTGTGAGAATTGGTGTGAGAGACAATCGGTTCTGTCTTGGGATGCTGATCGACACCGTCCAATCTGACGCTGAAGTACTGGGACATAGTATCCCACCAACCTGGCCATGTCTTGCCAGTGCAGTCTCTCTCGAGGATAGTCACCGGCGTTGGCGACACAGTCGACAACACACCGAAACTCATGGCAACGCGGTGATCGTCGTAGCAGAACACACCTTCCGTAGGCTCCTGGAGCTTCTGGTAGGACCGCCCAGTAATAATGATGCCGTCGTCGAACTCATCCGTCTCAACGCCAAACTTGGCTAACTGTTCACGCATGGCCCCAATGCGATTGCACTCCTTGACGCGCTGGTTGGCGATTCCACTGATCTTGGTGGTTCCAGAGGCCACAGCAGCGAGAACAGACGCCGTGAGGAAGGCATCAGTCATTGGCTCCATGTCAACGTGCTCGATTGCCTTGAGGGTACCAATTGCCGGTCCCGTAACAGTAGTGGAGGTGCCAGTTTGCTCAACTGCGCAACCCATAGGTTTGAGCACGTCAACGGCGAAGCGAGAGTCTCCCTGCAGCGACTCTGAGCCAATGTTGGGTACGGTGCAGGTGGTTCCGGTGATCGCGGCGATGGCCAGAGGATAAGTTGCAGAGCTCGCGTCACTCTCGACGACGTACTCGGCCGGGTTCTGGTAGACTGCTCTCGGGATGTGATAGGTGTTGGGTTCCTCGCCCGATCTGATCACATCAACGCCAAAAGTCCGCATCATGGCGATGGTCATGTCGATATAGGGCTGAGAAATTGGCTTTCCGCCTACAAGCCGTAACGTAACGGGGCTTTTGGCGTACGGGGCAGCCATGAGAATGGATGAAACGTATTGCGACGATATTGTAGCTGCCAGTTCAATGACGCCGCCCTCGAGTCCGCCAGCTGCATCGACTTGCAAGGGAAGACTCTTTTCCTGGCCCAGGTATTTTATCCCCAAACCGTTAGCTCGTAGGGCATCGACAAGAGGTCCGATCGGGCGAACCTTCATGCGGGCGTTCCCAGTCAGTACTGTTGACAAAACGTCGGAAGGGTTACACAAGGCCACAACAGTAGTTAGGAAACGAGACGCAGTGCCGGCATTGCCCAAGTACAGTGCTTCTTTGCTGGCGTTGAGCTTGCCACCCTTGCCCTCCACAGCCAGAACTTCGCCCGCCTCTTCCCAGACATAGGTTGCACCGCCGAGCTTTGAAATAGCAGACAGCATATACTCAGTGTCATCAGAATGCAGCAAGTTTTTGATGCGGCAAGTCCCCTGGCCCAGAGCAGCGAGGACGAGAGCGCGGTTCGAGATGCTCTTGGAGCCAGGAGGGGTCACCGTGGTATTGTGAGATTGAGGTACGCCAGGGAATACGCGGGTCGCCGGTGACAGGACAACCCTTATAGCACTATCCTCAACCACGCTGGCCTTCTGCTCGTAGGTTTTGCCGATAGCCGACAATAGCACGATCTTCTTGTTTGCTCCATCATTCTTCTTGTCCACGGCCATTTTGTCCAATAGAACGTCCACGGGACACTTCTTACCCGCTGTCAACTTCACGATCCGCTTGTCGTGTAGATTGGTAGGCAGATCGTAGCTAGCAATGCATTTGACCAGCCGGGCCACTGCGCCAGGCCGAAGGACGCCGAGGAAGCGAGCCAACTCGGCCTCTTTGACCATGCCAATGGCGACAGCTTCGCCGTGTAGGAGTTGGGGAGTAAGCAAAGCCTCAAAGGCATGTCCGATAGAATGTCCAAAGTTGAGCAAGTTGCGAAGACCTCCTTCTCTTTCGTCGCTGGAAACCACTTGGGCTTTGACTCGGGCAGAGCCCAGCACGATCCGCTTAAGTATATCTCGGATGGGTGCAAGCCTTTGTGAAGGCTCGGCATTCGACTTGATTGCGGTGAGAATGATGGATGCGTTGGCTTCAAGTGCTGCGAATTCGTCCTCGTCCCAGATCGCGGCGGTTTTAATGACCTCAGCCATGCCGTTGATGAACTCTCGTTTCGGCAATGTCTCGAGAAATGCTAGGTCAATGTAGATTCGGAAGGGTTGCCAGAAAGCCCCAATGAGGTTCTTTCCCATGGGCGTGTCAATCGCAGTCTTGCCACCGATGGATGAGTCAACCATTGAGAGCAAAGTCGTCGGCACCTGGACAAATCGAATGCCGCGCATGAAAGTTGCCGCAACGTAGCCTATCATGTCTCCAATCACTCCACCTCCAAGCGCAATGATGACCGTGTCTCTTGTGCATTTTTGCGACAGCATCCAATCCTCGATGGCGGCTTTCGTTTGACGGCTCTTCGAAACCTCTCCTGGCGGAATGGCGAAGGTGAGCAACCGCGTAGTCGCTGGGGAAGCCGCATTGAACACTTTTTGGAATGGTGGAACGTAAGTGTCGAAGATGTTTGTGTCGGTAATCAAGACATATGTTGACGTCTTGAGGTTCTGGAGTAGGTCATGAGTCACAAAGTCGAGCCAGATGCCGTGGTCGACAGTGATGTCGTCTTTGCCTAGGATGGTTATGCGGGTAGGGTCTGACCCAGATCCCGAGCCATTGACCAGTCCCATGATCAAAAGCAAGTGCGACGTGTTCACACTGGGCTCTGGTGCATCGATTCGTGCCGGTCAATTCTTTGCGCTGTTGATTGAGAAATTGAAAGCTGACGTTGGCGTGGGTAGGAATTATTTTTCTGGGGAACATAAAGAGGGGGAGGGGCAACCGACGCGCCTATACCGGAGCCCTGAAAAGTATGACTCTTCTCATCCGGTCACAATTGGCTAGTCAGTTGTCTAACGTCGGCCCCCATTTTTCGTTCTTTTCAGACGGGTTAAGCTGCCTGTACAGCCTTATAGCATAATGTGCCTGCGGGCTTCAGCCCCAGGTAACTGCGTTATGTAAGCTGCGTGGCTCAAAAAAAAAGAGACTTTTTGAGACTAATTAATAGGGTACTTATAGTAGCTACCCTACTATAAATCCTCTTATACTTAATACTATTATATTTTAGCTAATAAGGCTATCTACTATATTTAAGTTCTTAGTATATTTAACTATACTATATCTAATATTTAATATAAAGTACTATTATTAATAATAGTGAATATAGTCTTAAGGTTTTATTAAACTTAGTAGATTACTACTTTATATTATATAATACTAAGTAGAGCTATATAAGTACTTAAGAAGTATATCTAAATATTCTAGTAGTTATTTAAGTTATTTATTATTAAAATATTAAACTTATTATATAAGTAATAGTTAGAGGAGACTAAAGAGTTAAATAAGGGTGTATTCTTTCTAAGAGGATATTATACTTTTAGTATACCTTATATTCTAAGTATATTAAGTCTATATAGCTTATATAACTTATTCCTTAATAAGTATTTACTAAAGTTCCCTTATAAAATATATAGTATATTACTAGATATTTTACTATATACCCCCCTAGTTATATATATAGCTAATAGAAGCTTTATATTTAAAAGTATTTATTTAAATTAAAATAGATATAGTCTTAATAAAGATTAC